CTATGGATAAAATGCGACATGCACTACGACTACACTTGGGACTCTGAGTCTGACCTTTCTCTCTTTCAGAAAATTATAGAAAAGGACCACATTTTCCAATTCCTGACATGCCTCAACAAAGACCTTGACCAATTTCAGGGCTGTATTCTTGGCCGGGATCCTCTTCCTTCCGCTTATGCTGCTTTTACCGAGATCTGCCACAAAGAGAGCTAGAGACTTGTCATGCTCGACACTTCCACCACTCCAATCGAATCGTCCACTTTGGTATATAATAGTGCTCAACCTCATCAGGCAAGTCACCTTATTTGTGATTACTGTCACAAACTCAACCATACTCGTGACAGGTGTTGGAAGCTCCATAGAAATCCAACATAAAAATCCTAAGCCAAATCCTTTGTTGTCAAGGGTCTACCATGTTTTAACCGGCTCTTACTCATAACTTTCTGAAAAGCCAGATGGAACAATTAATCAAGCTACTTAGATCTAATTAGTTTTGGCTGACACGTTGACCTCACACGTCAGTGAACATAATATCTCTGTGACACGTTTTATTTCTCCCTTAGTCAGTGGATTATTAATTTATGTGCCACAAACCATATGACTGGATGCTCGCAAGCTTTCTCGACAACTATCCATGTTTTGGAAAAGATACGGTTAGAGTTGCGAATGACTCCTATAGTTTCATTGCTGGTAAAAGTGTTTGTCGTTTTAACGACCGATCTAACTTTGAAATCTGTGTTACATGTACCACCTTTGAAATGTAACATTTTATTTATCAGTGAGTTGAAACATGACATTGATTGCGGTGCTCATTTCTCTCCTGATGTTTGTGTCTTTCAGGATTGTTGTTCGTGGAGGATGATTGGAACTGTTAAGCAGTTAACTAAACTCTATTACTTTCAAGAGAAAAACATGGAGAACAAGGACGTACCACTCAGTATTTGTAGCCTAACTTGAGTCATTAAATGTCCTATTATTTGTATTATCATTTGGGTAATCTTAGTTCTCAATATTTAAAACATTTTTATCTATTGATGTTTTCTAATTAAAGTCTTTATAGTTTCAAGTGTGACATGTGTCAGTTAGCCAAACATCATCGGGTTCATTACCCACCATGTACTTACACACTTTTCGCACCTTTTTCACTTATTCACAGTGACGTATGAGAACCCTCTTGTACTGCCAGCTACACCAATAAATAGTGGTTTCTTACTTTGGTTGATGGTCATACTCGGATGATGCAGGTTTATATTTTAAAAAACAAATTAGAAGTTATACCTCTTTTCAAAACTGCTACACATTCATTTTGTCCCAATTCAAGTCCTTCGAACCGACAATGTTTGTGATTTTCTGGACTATATTTTAAGTGAATTCTTCGTAAGGCCATCATCCACCATATCTCCTGTACGGACGCTCCTTAACAAAATGGGATAACTGAGAGAAAAAAACCATCTCATCGATGTTGCTCGCTCTATTATGTTTCAATCTAATATACCGAAACGTTTTTGGAGTGATGCCATACTAACTGCCACCCATCTCATAAATAGTCACCTCTAAAATTCACAACTTCTAAAACCTCTTTGTTGTCATGCTTTCCTGCTAATCGGGTCTTCTCCACTTTATAACCCAAAATCTTTGGGTGCACAACCTTTGTTCGGAACACAAACTCCATTCGAAGTAAACTTGATCCCAAATCCATAAAATATATTTTTCTAGAGTACTCTGCCACTCAAAAAGGATATGTGTCTTAATCCTATCACAAGCAAAATCTATGTGAATGCTAATGTCTCATTTTTTTTTAAAAGTGTTCTCTATTTTTCTAACTTGACCTCAAGTGTGGGGGAGCTAGAGTTCTTGGACAATTTTCCTTATCTTACTCTTATGGATTTACCCTCATTGTTCCTACCTCAAAGGAATCTCTAGTGCTTGTTTTTCCACCATCTTTTCCTCCCACTCTCCGTGTCTACACTTGACGCACTCATCCTAATGCCCCTACTCTGGAGCCTGCTACCTCCTTACAGGACCTTGAATTCACTCCAAGCACATCTTTGACACTACTACTCCAATGAGGAGGTGAATTCCCCGAGTAACGTACGCACTCGGGCATGTTCTCTATTTTCCATGGCAAAATGTTTCTTTTTGCAGTTTATTGCCGATCTACAAAGCATTTGCTACTGCCTGATGAATCATCAAATCTCAGCTAGTATTGAGGCTGCACTAGCGGATTCGGTCTCGAAGGTTTTAGTAATGGAGGAGATGAATGTCCTTCAGCGGAACCATACATATGACGTCATAGATATTCCTAGACATGTCTTTGAATGCCGATAAATTGTTAGCATCAGGTTCAACTCAGATGACTCATTTGAATGCAACAAAACACGGTTGGTCGTCTAAGGATACTCACAGATCTACGGAGTTGATTATGAGGAGACATTTACTTCTATGGCTTACCATTCGGGTTTTGTTTTCTCTTACGGTGAATTTGGATTTACCCTTATTACAGCTCATTGTTAAGAATGCGTTCTTGAACAGAGATATTACAAATGAGGTGTACATGTCTCTTTCCTCTGATTTCAACTCTACTGCCTTCTCAGGGTAAGTGTGTTGGCTGTGGAAGTCTCTCTATGAACTAAATCAATCCCCACGGGCTTGGTTTGACAAGTTTACAAAAGTTGTAGTGGGTTATGGTTTTATTCAGGCTCAATCGAATCACGCTCTCTTCTTTCGACATTCATTTAATTGTCAGATTGCTATTCTTATCGTCTATATCGACGATATTGTGCTCATAGAAAATGATCTGCCAGCATTGGAGTCTTTGAAAGACATTCTATCTATGTCCTTTGAAATGAAGGAAGGACTTAATATCCCTCCAATACTTTTTAGGCATGAAAGTTGCTCAGTTATCTCGGAGCATTTGCTTCTCTCAACGCAAATATGTTATTGACCCGTTAACATAAAACAACCAGCTTTTGAAAATTATCTGATGTTCCCAAATGCCGTTCCTGTTAACAAAACTCAATACCAATGCCTTGTAGGGGAACTCATCTACATCACCCATACACGACCCGACATATGCCATGCATTTGATATAGTTAGTCAATTCATGGATGACACCTACGACCGCCATACCAGATCAGTCCATGACAGATGATCTATCTTCGAGTACTGCTCATTTGTGTGGGGAAATCTCGTCAAATGGAAAAGTAAAAAAACAGTTAGTGGTTGCTTGGAGCAGTGTTGAAGCTAAATTCCGATCTATGTTCTTGGGGATCTGTGAAGCTCTCTGGTTACACATCATGCTTCGTGAACTGCGTATGTAGACCACTTGCCCTCTGCAGTAGTTCTTTGATAATAAGACCGTAATCAGCATTGCCCACAACCCGGTTCACATGATCGTACTAAACATATGAAGATTGACAGAAGCTTCATCAAGGAAAAACTTGAATATGTGGAAATTTGTATTCCTTTTCTGTCATCCAGTGACCAACTGACAGATATTGTCACAAAGAACCTTCATCGGTCACTGTTCGATGACTTCAAATCTAAGTTGAACATAATTGACATCTATGCTTCAACTTGAAGGGGAGTATTAAAATATTAAATTAATAACAGTCATCCTTAGCCTTTTTTAATGTGCAGATTTTCTTTTATTGGCTGTTATTTGCTTTCCTATTTCTTTTCATTCTGTTTTTTATTTTTTTTCCAATTTCCCTTTATTCTATTTTTGTTTCTTTCCTTATGAGTGCCCCTTGTAATTGAGTTTATATACACTAATTCTAACAAA